CGGGGGGGACTCGCTGCGGGATGGGGGATGGGGACCACTAGCCTCTCCCACGTCTGTGCCGCCTGCCCCCCCCGCCCCCCGCAGCAAGGAGAGGGCTGGTTTGGCCTGTTTTTCATCTCTCTGGGTGCACCCAGCTCACCCCAACCACAATGGGTGGGCGCGGGGGGGCTGGTTTTCACCCCCTCCGCTCACATGCCTCTCGTCATGCCAAGCCCCGTGGCCATCGCCGCCGGGTACCACCGAGGGAAGGGATCAGGAGAGATGGGAAAGCTCTCCCAAACACCGCGATGGCGCTTCTCCCCTTGCTTCTTTATTCCAAACCATTGCGTATTTTGCTCATCTATTTTTGGGGTGCGCGGGAGCCGGCAGTGGGCAGGGGCACAGCACCATCTAGCACTGCCGGCGGCGGGGAATCACCCAGCTGGAAAAGCGGGAGCAGGAAATCCCAGCAGGTTTCCAGCGAGCTGGGCTCTGCTCTATATTTCCGAGAAAGGAGGCCAGTCGCTCAGCGTCTTTGGTGGAGGGATGGGGGCCACAGCGGAGCAAAGAGGGGTCGATGGCTCCGGTTGTGGTGATGAGGAGCAGTGGGAGGAAGGAGGGCTGGGGCAGACGCGGGCTGGTGGGGGTGGAATAAGGAGCAAATGCCCACGTCCCAGCCTTGGCACTGTGCGATGCTGTGGCTGCTCCTAATGGGGGATGCTCGGGGGGTCCCTTTGCACCGAGCCGGGGTATAAGAGAGAGGAGCGTGTCCTTTGGGTGCTGGGCAGTGCTGGGAGGGGGTGGTGTTTGTGTTAGTGTGTGGGAGAAGCGATGCCTCTGTGTCCCCTGTCCTCTCTCCTCATCCACCAACCCTGGGGTCCCCGGGGTGGCGAGGGCTGTCCGTTATCTGGACAGCAAGACCCCAGCACTGCAGCACGCTGGCCTGGGGATAAAGGAGCTGAGAAAGGGCTTTTTTGGGAGGGAAATGCCCCCCTTGGACACCCAGCTTGATGCCAAAGGAGCCTTTGGCTGCAGAAGCTCGGCAGCAGGTAACAGGGGGGGTGTTTTGAGGGCAGGAGGGGCTGCGTGTGCCCTGGGGATGGGGCAGAGGGAGGGCAGAGCCCAAGCTGCCTGTGGTCACCCCCTCCTGTGTCCA